TTATTACAAATAATTAAGTATGTATATACGGAGCAGTGTTGGCCGAGTGGCTTCAGCGTGCGACTCTCATCCTTGAGGTTGTAATGACTATCTGTCTATGTGAGTATTTAACATTCGCTCGAACCGTGAAGGAAAACATCGTATTAAGGAAACCAGCTTTCCTTAGACCAAAATTTCGACGGCGTGTGTCAGGCACACAAGGCTCCTACTTGCCTATTATATTAACAAATGATCATAAAACAGATTCAGAAATCCGAAGCCCAGATCTAAAAAGGTTGTACCGCCACTGATTTTTTTTTAAATTACGTACTCGTAAATCTTATAAAGTAATATTAAATATATATCGACATTCACCCATCACTATTGCAGTGGCACGAACAGTGATTGCATCTAGAATCGAGTCGATGATACTAGATTGTTTTGGAGCACACCGCGCCTTGTTTAGAAATATCATGATTCATGACATTGTTCAATTTCTTACTTCTATTTATAATGAACTCCGTTTTCAAGTACATTTATTAAAAAGTAGGTCTCTGGATCTAATGAACCGATTTTGAAAATTCTTTTACCAATGGAAAGCCATGTTATTTGAAACTATTAACCGTGGTAGTCCGGTTTACAAAGTCGGTGAAAAAGCGGTCGAACGAAAACGTTTTTAACAAACGCTGCCTTACCGATGAGAGATAAAATTGAGTTCTAGATAATATCTACAAAAAACAGAATGTTTTTTATATAAAAATAAGCCCTCCGCCGCGTTCATGTGTATGTCTGTTCGCGATAAACTCATACTGGACGGAATTTGTTGCGGTTTTCACCAATATCTAGAATAATTTATGAGGAAAAGTTGCCCAGGCAGGTTGATAAGTGTAGATGATTATATGTTAAATAGCTTTTAACCAAGCTTAGTTTAACTTATAAAATCTCTATAATAACTTTAATTACTATTTTTTTTTTTAAAGACAATTCACACCAATTGACCTAGTCCCATGCTAAGCTGGTGAAGCTTGTGTTATGGGTACTAGGCAACGGATATACATACATATTATAGATAGATAGACATATAAATACATTTTTTAACACCCAAGACCTAAGCACAACACCAAATGCTCATCACATCGATGTTCGTCTCAGCCGGGGATCGAACCCGGGACCCATGGATTCGCAGTCAGGGGTACTAACCACTAGACCAATGAGTCGTCAAACTATAATTCACAAAAATATAATAAAACCCGAAGAACTAAGTTTCCAATTCAAAATACCTTAATTAAAACGAGAAGTTCTAAACGCAAATTCACTTTTCATCTCTCAGGCTTTAAGTAATAGTTTCTCTTTACCCGCGGCAATTAACCGTAAGCACTAAACAACCTAAGGTTTAATTTAACCACAAGAAAATCAATTAATACGGGACGTATAACAAATAAAGGGAACGCAACTAGTTTCTATTGAAGCGGTTAAATTACATGTGATAAGGCCAATCTCGCAATGAACACGATAATTCTCGTTTCATTTCGCTTATCGGACTAAAATTTAAATGCTTATTGAGCTATTAATGTAGATATAGATAGAATTGCAAGCGTATATATTAGAGGTTATTCTTAATTTATGGACCTGGCGACCGCAAATCGAGATTGTGTTTACCTATATATATTTTTTCCTTAATAAAACCGTGCTCTCATTCGAATTCTTCGCGAATAAACACTAGGTACTTATACAGAGCTTGACATATCCGGGCTGCTTCAGTAAAAAAAAGCATTGTTAAGTGCCTATCTGATACTTTTTGGCCAGCAACGCACTCGCGAGCCCTATGGTATTCAAAATGTCCATGGGTGGTGGTTTCACTTAACATCAGGTGAGCCTGCCCGATTGGCCTTTGTTCTAGAAAAAAAACGTAATCGCTGTTTTTTTCTAGTAATTTTTATTGTATTTTTGTTTTAAATATTTTTTGTAACATTTATGTTTACCAGAATTGTTACTTTAGAAAAGATAGCTACAGGTTCACTGTAGGTATAGCATTGTATGATAAGGCAAACTTTAATAAATATACCTACCTATAATAATATATTGTAAACAAAAGTGGACTTAATAATACAAATATTTTAAACGTAAAGTTGTTGATATGCACTTTGTGCTTAATTATTTGTGTTGCAATATAATAAAATATAAAAAAATCCTATTAGTGGCTATTGAATACAGCAACATTTAAAAAGTAACCGTTAATATACATACATATATATTTTAATAATAATATGATGTGATAAAATGTAACAATTGACTATCAAGATATGATTGGTAATGTAATATGTAACTACTACGTAAAATTTTACCTTTCAAGACAAATTTGTACGCTATTATGTGTGTAAGAATATACAAAGTTAAAATTGTACCACCATCATATTATTGTACCATATAATTGAAAACAAATTATTACTATAACTATTTGTTAATATAAATTAGATGAAAAATCAGGCGCCAGTTATTTAAAATAAAGTCCATCAATCTACCAAGTTAAGAACGCGCTGCGTTGAAAAGCTGGAGGTCAACTTAGTTTATAGAGTGCGCGAACTTACACTGGGCGTTTTCTAACAGTGAGCTCGAACGCATTCGTTATCGTTCGGCAGATTGCGCTCCACCCAGCTGCGCGTGCGCATTCTTCTATCTCCGTCAAACGCGTGTGTTTTGAACAGTCTGTCGCGTGCAGCCGCGAGGTGCGGACGCCACGCCTACTCTTTGTGATCAGGTCATTTTCCAATTATGTTAGAGCTTTTTGCGGCCTCGTGATGCCTGCTTTGATAAGCTTTCTAATAGCGGAATGAATGAGTTGCTGATACCCAAACAGATGTTATGAACTCTTTAGTGAATTCGTGATTATATTATGTCATATGCATTTGTATGAACTTTGAATTGCTTTATAGTAATAAGTATTTAATCATATAATTATTATTATTAGATTTTTAATTATAGGTAGATACAGAAAGTGTGAAAATAAAAGCTTTAATAATTATGAATTTAGTGTATAAAGATTAATTGAATGTTATAGCTAGCCTAGCTTTTCCCCACTAAAACACTTGTTAAATTCATAATTCATTTAACCATATAGGTAACACAATGTATACTTATGATCGTCAAAAAAAGAAATGTATAACTTTACATTTAGTGCCAGTTCTCAAATCAAGGGCTGTCTTGTTGTTTCAGTAAACTAATGAAAATGTTTATTAAAAAGCTCTTAAATTCCAACACAAAGGTAAACTTAATGGAGCCAGTAAATGTTAGAAAGCGTAAGTAAAACAAAACGACAATTGATAAAAAACCAAAGCCATCATGACCCTTGGGTTATAAAAAGCGATGAGGTATGGCGAGTGGCGACCGCGGGAGATTATAATTATGGAATGAACGCTGCCGCTCACCGTCAGGGGCTGTGTTTTAAAGATAATTGCAATCTTTATAGGATAGTGCCTAGTGTTGTTCCTGTAGGTCATTAGAATCAAAAATCATTTATTCATATAGGTAACACAATGTACACTCGAATCAAGGGCGTAGAACGGTAGAGAAGAACTAGCAATAAACTCTTCGCTACTCTTTTTAATCGCCAAGATTTTTGTTTTACATAATGTTTGTAAGGAGCTCCATTACACCATGTTCCACATGACATCTTAGGTAATAAATAATAATATAATAAATTAAAAACAAATATTTGTCCTCTATCAGCAGGAGGCATGGTGAAATAGGAACACGCACTTACATTCTCGTGGGGACAACACGTAATCGATGCAAACCTTTGATTTTAATCTAAATGAAACGAAAATCTATAGAAAGCTTTCCCAATAAACTTTAACAACGACTGAACTTGTGAAACATCGGCAAAAATACCTTACAGTTGAAAGTTTTGTGTTTGTGCTCAAGTAATAACCAGTTTCAAGATTGAAAATCACCTAATATGAAGCCTAAAATAACCAATAAATACTGAGTAACCTGGACTCGGTACGCCTACCGATTGCACCTGCCACGATAAACGAGTACCTAGTAATAATTTATCGGGCGCATCACTAGCCAAGAGCAAAGGTTCCACAGAGGGCGCAAGCATCAATTTGCGCGGTAGCCGCCGCGGGCGCAGCCGCCCCTGTCATTAGCCCCCTGCCCCCCGAACCACTGCCCGACCCCCAGGGTCGGACTTTACCCTTTTTTGCTTCCACACAACCTGTTCGGCTGCTACAGACGCAATTTAAACGGTTCATGGCCGCGGGCGATACGACAAATTCATAGCCTGATAAAATAGCTAACGTAAAGTGCGTAATAAACAGCATCCGTCGTCCATTGATTAGATGGTATGCGTAATGATTCCACAGCAATTGCGTTTATTTGTAATAAGGTATTGTTTGAGTAAAAGCGGGTAGTAATAAACATTGACCGTCTGTGACCAAAATATGTTTTCAAATAGAAATCTAACTCTTAACCATGATATGAACTTATATAAAAACATATGTTTCACCTAAAATAAACTATAAATGTTAGAATACCGACTATAATTGGGCTCTAATAGGTAGAAGTCATTATTAAATACCAAGACAATTAGAATTTTAAAAGGATATAACAAAACTTAAGACACGACCACAAATAATAGGCCACAGGATCTGAAACTGCCAATTTATACCCCAATTAAATTATTTTCCCCAGTATCATTCCATTGCGTTAAGACCGAGGCCACTTTTGACCCCGGGGCACCAGAGTTAAAGTCCCGAACCGATTCTCTACTCCGTAACCCCTATTAAATTAAATATGCCCCCAAACCACAGACTGAAGGATACCGGGGTCAAACTGACCCTTGATTTACTCCAACACATGCCCTATGGCTGTATTTTATACGAAGGTTGCTCGGTTTAATGCCTATTTTAAGGCACTATTTCAATAACGCGGTTTCAAATTACTTTGAACTAGATAAAACCTAGAAAGAAGTTTCTGTTTTGTATTAATCCCAATCTATGTAGGATATAGCAATCAAGATATTAGAATTGATAAGCGAAGTCGGCTACCAGCCAGCCGCCTGATTCCTGAGGCGATTGCACATAAATAAATTCACTAGATTCCTGTGTCTCTATATCAACGTCGATCATGAAAGGAGCAAAATGAGCGCAGCAAATTGACCTGTCCTTCACAACGACCGGCGGGCGCCGGCGACCTGTCGCTGCGATAACTAATTCCGTTCCCATGAGCTGGTACTCGGTAGCTACCATCTCGCTTTAATTATTCATAGGCCTTTTTTGTTAGCTTTTTACCGCTCGGCGGCTGCAGAAGCCATTTATAAAATTAAAAAGTAAAAATCGAACAACGCGGACGCGGCGCAATTAAAAAAGAACTCGGATGACACGGATCGAACTCCGGGCAAATGTCGCGGCGTAAAAAGTGGTCAAGCTTGAAGATGAGCGGAGGCGCGGGGGGCAGGACGTCACGTAGGCGGCTCGCTTTTTGTCAACGTTCCCGCCGAGATGACAGGTTGAACGCTGGCCGCGACCCGAGATCGAATCGTCTTGATACTGACGCGCCCGATTCGATCCACCCGTTTTGTCACACAAATACCAATTATTGTTTTACCGTGAAAATATTTTTAGATACGGTTCAAGTTTTCGACGAACGATGGTCAATTTCACGCTTATTAAATGCGTGGAATATTGGTAACTGCTATTCTGTGATGGACGGAACTTTACGTTCTTAACATCGAAACACCTTGACGTTCTCATATCATACAAGGTGCTTTAATCATTGATTAAATTAGCATTTTGTTTATTGTTATAATATTCTCGATTGTCTCGATAGTATCAAAGCCGCGCAGGCGCAGTATACGTGACATGAACAGGTGCAAAGGCAACCGAGCGTACGTTAACTTCGCCCAGCTTCCCACAAGCCACAACCCGTTGCTCAAATTTTACCATACAGCGACATATTCACATACCTATCTACAAAAACTTAGGAATTTACCGATAAAAATGTAATATTATAGTATTATTGCGTCTTATTGGTACAAACTTAACATCATTTGTTATTCTTCCAAGAAATTTATTTATTTTGTGTCCTTGCGAAAAGCGAGTTTTGAAATATTTTTCCTTAAGCTTCTTTGATATCTTTTAATTCAAAAGGGAATAACAACAACAACTTAAGGAACAAGTTTTTGATGTCCTTTTTTACATTGTCACTTAACAGTTCGTTTCATCTTTTCAGAATTTCCGTGAACAAAGAATCGACGGAGCGGGCCTGCCACTACTTACAGAAGACCACCTCACCGGCATGCTGCAGATGAAGCTTGGACCAGCACTTAAGCTACGCGCTGTTCTGGCCCGGAGACTCGAATCCTGTGCTCAATGTCAAGCAAACACCTTACTTACGGCCCCTGTCACCCCAAACACACCTAAAATCAATGGAACATTGAAGCCAGAACCAAGAAGCAACACAACCAGTCCTAGCTAATTCAATAAAACAAAGGCGCTTGTACTTATACATACTTTATTGAGTCTTTTATATAGAAAATATGCTGAACTTTTCCCTACACTCATATTTTTTATATAATAGAAACAATAAACGGACTCAAATGGTTGTTAACGACTTTATGACTGAATATAAGTGGAATAATAAACTAAAATATGAAGCGGTGTGGTTAGCAACAACCATAAGTTAAAGATGTCTTCCTGTTTATAGATAATTGCATTTAGTCTTTACCTAATATTGTAAATAATAATGTTGCCGTCCAAATATTATTTTCGCTGTATTTGGTTAAGCTTTGAGAATTTACGAAAACGAAGAATGGTCTTCAAAAATTTCGGTGCTATTTGACCCCGCTAGAAATAGTTTTAGAATAGTTTTTATGTGTATATTTATGCCTGTAATTAAATGAACTTGAGGCTACGTCTACTTAACACAGGGCTGTTACAAACTGTATATATATAGTAATACGATGTATGTACATCATTATGTAGCATTTATTTGTACCACACCTGAGTAAAGCTCATTTTCCAACCGTTAACACGGGTTAGTAATAATGTTTTAGAAGCAGAATAAGAAATAATTATCTACTATGAAGCATTCATAAAAGACTTTAATATCCCAAACATCCAAAAGTATTATACTATTGTGTGAAGATAAAGTTCAGAAATTTCTTAAGGAAATTTGGGATGCCTTACAATTAAACCAGTGAAAAAGTCCCAAATGTAAGTAGTAGATAAAAAAATATTTCATGTTTTGTTAAAGGAACATCTTAGTTATGTAAAATGCACAATATTTTCAATAACAATTTCTGTATATACGTACAAGTCTATAGATATAGATTGATACAGTATGTGTAGGATCTGTGGTAATCTCCTTAATTGCCAAAATAGTTATATCCAATTCAAATGTTAAAGATAATATAAGTGGTGCTAATGCAACTGTGTGCCTTATTCCAAGTCTTCCGAACTTGAAAACACTTCCATAGATAACATATATATTATTAAGAACGAATATCGATGTTCTAAATATGAATTTCGGAAATGGTTTTCCTATTTCGACTCCGGCGTTCTTCAACTGTTTTTAAAGTTATTTGAACCAAGTTTTTGCATAGTATTACGGTTTTACGCTTTAATCCGATAGATAACATATTTTTGAAAGTGTTTAATAAATTTGTAATTAATTATAACAGCTTTTAGTAATAAAAGTGTAAAGTGTAAATTTTAATGGTTAATATTGAATTAAAAATATCAAGGGCAATTTAATGCGATTTTGATTACATACAATTGTTATAATACATAGTATAAAACTGTTCATTACACATTCAGGATCCTTTTCTCGTTATATACTATTTATTGAATAATTGTATTTATACTGGTCTCAAATAGAAATGTAATAACATTCTAATTTCCATGAATAGCCCTTAATATTTTTAAACACATCTAAAATTACAGTTATCGTTGTTAATTTCCTTGTAAAATTAATATTAATTATAGCTACGTAGATCTTATTCGTGGATGTATAATCCATATTAAGTATTTATGTGAAGGAAAATAAAATGATTTATTAATATTCTCTTTTATTATTATTAATATTTACATTTATTAACAGGAACATACGTCAAGTATCATTTAAAAATACTAGGTAATTCTATAAAACTATAATAACAATATAAATGTAATCTCAACATTTCTTAAATTAATATATAATTTAAAATGTCTTATCTCTAAAGGCTTAACCCCAGTTAATAAAAATCGGCGCCAAAAAAATTTAACTAAAACAGTTATCGCCTTTCATCACAGTGTAAACACAATTTGACAGAAAGAGATGATAGCATTTTAGTGAGTGCAATTTAGTTTTTATTCAACAAATAAAATGACTGAAAAACTTTTATGAAAAATGGACTGTTATAATAACTCAGTGGATATTTTCAGCAACTCCATAGAGACCTTTCGCCGAGTCGTTTTATCAACCTTGCATCGTTAATTATTTACTAATATTTTTTTCTTTTGCTTTGTTGTATTCATACATAATTGTTATCTATGTATTAACATTTTATATTCGTGGATGCCTGCCTTGCGATTCTGCAACTCACTTTTCGAACTCACACAGCGGTTTTCGCATCGGCGGTGAGTTACAGAATCGCAAGGCTGGACCCATGCCACTTCTTCGATACAAAGAGTCTCCTCGGAAATTGTGTGCAATATTGCAGGCTACTCGATTATGAGGAAGTAGCATGGACCTGGTTGGTTCCCATGTCATTTTCACACGTATTTTAACATATATTCATAAGTATTTAATTATCCTCATTTTAACATTTTAACATCTGTGATGTTTGAGAGCATAATGAAAATAAGAGGGTTTGGCGGTAAAGGTAAATTGTGACCTTTTTAATATCAATGTTGGGATATCAAAATAATATCTTTAGATTTCACAGTCACTTTCCTCTAATATTGTAGCCGCTTCTTGTCGCGTATAAACACATTTATAAATTCACTTATTGTTAAAGAAGTCTGGTTTCACAATGGTAGTATAAAAAATACTTTAAAATTTAGGCGCCTACTAAAAAACCATAGGCAAAGGATTAATCTTGCTCAGTTTACTCTAAAATTTAGGCGCCTACAAAAAAACCATAGGCAAAGGATTAATCTTGCTCAGTTTTCGTGACTAGTTCGAAGTTCCTCTCTTGGTGGTGACGTTTCTTTACTTTGTACTCCATCACTTCGATGGTCGTATATCCAGAGAAACCCAATAACAGCAAACCCAGAAGTACGTATAATCTGTAGGAAGTTTTGATTTGTTATGAAAAACTATTAAGACAGTGCCATTGGGGACTTTAGCTCTGCCACGCAAACGGGTTTTTTTATGAGTTAGGTGAATATAGCCTGAACTGGTGTTTAAAATAAAAACATTACACCACGATAGTACTACATGAATGTCCCACGTTTGTAATGTTTAAAAGTAAGTTTTTAAAAGTAAAAGAAGCAAATACGCTCCCACAAGAAAATGCCAGTAACTTTTCAGATATCATGGTCATATATACCTTGTGCGAACACAGAGATATGGAGCTGATGCATATGACAGCACACTGCCCGTCGCCTCCCACAGCCTGAAGTTTGAATAGGCCGCTTCCTCATCACCAGGGAATAAGATGCCAGACAAAGCTGTAAAAACAGAATTTATATATTATACAACCGTCGCTTTACGAATATCTACGTTATTATTATTATTAAAATACTGTTGTATATCTTTTTTATTTCATATTATATCGATAGAGAGTTTTGGTTAGAGTTAGTTACAATTTGGTCTTAGTTGCTATGTTATTATTGGATAGTAAACAAAACACTCCTACAGTAGGGCACGGACAGCATAACAACGTTATAAGATATGTGTGTTCTTAACAGTACATTCAGGATACCATTGTTGCTATGCCTAACACGTTGCAATAAGGACCGAACCGACCCTTTTCCGAATTATAGCATCAAAACCGTCAGTTCGGCAAACATATCTGACGCACTGTAAAACTGCGCAAGCCGAATAGCAACCTGAACGTGTTGTTATATGACGGAGCGTATTCAACGCCTTCTGGGTAAAGCAGCCCCATAGACTGCACGAGTAAAAAAGAGTATTTTAGTATTCTAACAGCGTAGATGTAGTGATTAAGTGTGAGATTCAACCGTCGTTCAAACGTCTGTGTACATATCTGTGGATTAATATTGTTGCAACGTGCAAAATGACGTAGCAGAAATAATGGACAATTGTCAGTAACAGATACACATATTTTCTGGAAATAATTAACAACCGATACAACAGAAATAATAATAATTGTTTATTTCGAATTTTTTCCAATTAAATTTGTTACAGAGAACGTCAGATATTTTTTCAAGTCTACATATTGACACTAACCATTAACTTGTACCAGCCATACCGCATCAGCCGTCCCCAAATGGCTGCCAAGAAATAAAACATCAGCCATTGTTCGGGGTCTGGTCTCCAAAGCAGAAGGGCCGTCAAAAGACATAAATTTAGGAGCTGCAAAATTTAAAAAAGTCTTAAAACGTTAAGTTTTTAAAAGTCGTTTTCTGTTGGAATAAGACTTTAATGAAATCAATGTTGAGTTTTGACTAATGCAAACCAAAACTGTAAGTATTTTTAGTATTACATTATTTTTATTAAATAAGGTTTAGGCTATTATCCAATAGTTAGTACTTTATCTCGAATAACCTCTTAACTTTAAGTCGTTTAAAAAGAGGAGATATCGACTTTATTTCAAATAGTCGTACGGCAATACGTGATCTACTTGCCTATAAAAAATATATCAGAAAAACCGATCCAATCTGAAGACCCAAGATTTTGTTACTAAGTAAAGTTTTATGTGATTTAATTACCAAGGCGGTTAACATGACGGGAAATCTTCCAGTAACTTTGACGACTGCACCGGCGACAGGAGCTGCTAAAGCATTGAACACACCGAAGCAAATCATCACGAAACCAATGTTTGGGATGCCGTAAGCGCAGCCTACGAAAGCCTGAAAAATATTAAAACTTGGATAACAAAAAATTATTTTTATTAGGTCATCCTTTATCACTAAAATACAATTTCTTATTCCGATAATTTCATATTCATAATATATTATACTAGCGGTCCCCACAGACGTTGTCCTGCATGATATTTCAAGCGATTAGGATAATAAACAAAGTTTGAAAGTAGGGACTGCAGCGAAAAAACCTGGAAACCATCCAGGGATCCACCGCAATGCATACAAAAAAAACATTGAAATCGGTCCAGCCGTTTAAGAGGAGTTCAGTGACATACACACGTACAGTAGAATTATATATATGTGTAAGCTATCCTATCTTGTAAGTTAGATCAAACTGCATACGGTGCGAAAATTTGATTGAAATCGGTTAAGTAGTTCAGGAGTCCACAAACAGCGTGACGCGTGTTTTATATGAATTAAGAAGATAACAAAATAATCTACCTATTGACTTCTAGTAGGTAACTAGTAACAGCCCAGTGCGCAGACAACACTTATTTAAATTATTTACATACATTCCTCTTAAATTAAATTTATGTCTAAACTCAATTAAATTTATCTATTAACTTCCTTAACTCACTTAAGTCCAGTAAAAATAATTGATTGAAATTTTTAAACATCGGTCAATTTTATTTTGATAAAAATCATGGTTTTAATAGGATGCTAAAACCAATGTCAATCATCATAAAATGTGAAAATATATATTTACAGCCTCACAACCTGATCAACTAACTCGTTTATTTATCTGTGGCAAATTAGGATAACAAGTATCCTCTTCTGTGTACTCCTTGGTTCAAGCTTAACTATCTTTCAATTCTTTTTTAGATACTCTGATTTCACAGACTTTCTGATCCTTAAATATTTTATTTATTGATTGTAAGGTTCCTGGGTTATCGGGGTGCTTTAAATAATAGAAGATTTTAGTTTTACTCTATATGAACCACTCGCGTGTATATATATATATATATTGTATTGTTGCCCCGAGATTGTCTTGTATATTTCGAGCGTTAGGAATAAGCAATTTGCTGTAAGCTAGACAAAATACCTAAAGTGACTTTTTCCTGCCATTAGAATCAAAAAAAACATTCGAATGACCTGGGTCCTGTCGTCTCTACGATGAAAAAAATTACATACGCCGTTGAAAACGCCCGTACTTATATTATTTTTAAGCAAGATTAAATGCTGTATGTAGACCAAAATGCTAGTGCATTTCAGACATTTTGCACTTACAGGAGTCAAAAGAAAATCTGCATTTTTTCCTTTTAACAAATACTTACTTATTCCCATTTAAAAACCTAACGCTACTTACAGCATTTCTAGCAGCGCGTGATTTTTACATTCGTTTACTTACAGCAAGTTTAGGGAACATACAGTCTTGGTTTTATTTATTTACGACATTTTATTTCAACCAAACTATTAGTCCATTACCAAATGACCCACTTGCATTTCTAGATCTAATCTAATTATAAACTAATCTTACATCTTGAATTGCAAATAAAAGTGTCCAATATACATAAATTTCCTGCATACAGCATATTTACCGCCTGTAAATTGATAATATTTCCGCGTGTACTTTTTCTTCCTTAGTTACAGCGTTTTAAAGGTTTGCTGATTTAAAAAACTGTTTGCTGTAACTAGCCAAACACGTACTTATAGTAACTTTTTAGAAACAGTTTACATTGCAAATGGTGACTGGCAGTTAAATAAATATATGTTTCAAAAATGGTAGCAATATCATGGATAGGTCAGATACTATTAATTTTTTTCGAAATTAATAAAGTTTTTTGGCTCTGGTGAACAATTGCAATATGTCTACTTACAGCAAATGTGCTTTCCTACGTCGATATACTCTCGGGGCGTAACTACGACGATTTAGGAAATCTTAATGCTTATAAAACGCCTTGGCTCGTACATTAATTTTCCTATTAAACAATCTAAAGCTACATTTATGCCTAAAACTCACTCATATAATACAGTTAAAATCTAATAAAACATAACTACACAGTTGCTTACGTGGGTGCAAAATAATGAAAGGTTCTTGAGCAAAATTTTGGCCTCATTTGAACCGCGATCTATCACTCTCAAGGTGTCTATGACCTCTCTAATCAACTCGTTATCAAATAAATCTAAAACATATTCCTTTGTTTAGTGAAAGGCTCACAGCCTTCATACAAATCTAGACTACACGACCGGAAGTAGGTTCACTGAAATGTACACTTCCGATTACAGAATGAATTAGAAATGAGTTATTGTTTCTCTGACCTCACGTGTATAATTGTTAATTATTTGCCAGTTCCATTTTTAGATATTGCTTTATTACGCGGTAATAAATACTTAAAAGTGTAATATCTATAAGGAAGGAAATTACCTATTATAACGGCAATTACCTCTTAGACACGTTTAAGTTAAGGATAAATAATAAAAAGTTAGAGAATATGAGATATTATTTCTTGGCAACAAAGTTTAGTTGTAATTTGCAATGATTTGTGTTTTAACAGTAGGTAGCGCTTGGGTTACAAAATAATTGATGAATACTGGGTCTTACACAAAAAATTCACGGGATGAGTACTTGACCACTGTTTAATAAGACAGATTTTCTATTAAGAATGGGCAGTGTTGGCCTAGTGGTTTGAGCGTGACTCTCAACTCGAGGTCGTGCATTCGAATTGTGGTTACCCATGGACTTTTCGGTCTATGTGCTTATTGCACACTCGCTCGCACGGTGAAGGAAAAAATCGTGAGGAAACCTGCATGAATTAGACCTAAACATTGAAGGCGTGTGTGACATAATACTGCTAACCTACTGGCCTATTAAAACAAGAAAAAGGTCACAAAACAGACACAGGAATCTGAGGGGTTGTAGTGCCACTGGTTTTTCTTCTAATAAGAAAATTACCCACGAAGTCTTTATAAATACAAAAAAGCACAGACTACGAAACCACCTAGCAAATTCGTATAAGAGGTAATTTTTAAGTATCCTACCTGAGTGAAATCAGCAGCCATGAACGCCTGTTCAGCACCGATATAGCCAATAACAGGAAGCAGTAATAACTGGTACTTATGGCGTAATTGTCGCAGCGTCACTGCTAGCAGCTGCAGGCCAGATTTGCCATGGCCTGTTGGCTGACGACCGGTGTTGTACCTATAAAGAATATTTGACTTAAATCTTTGCTACATGAAGGCTAAAAATGGTTGGAAAAGTTCTCACATAAAATGTTAACTTTGTTTACATTTTGTTAACATTCGATATTAAAACTCAAAAATGATTACACGAACCGCTTATACATAATGTATGTAATATGTATGTATAAGATTACATTTAAACCTAAAATCTATCTGTGTGCAGTGCCTGTGCATTCACCGAATTTTATATATGATTTTTTTTTCTTTTTTGTGATTTTGCGAATTTGTTTATACTTGTCTTTATCTTTTTAGTACTTGATGTCGCTGGTCATGTCCGCATGTTGTAGGACGGTTTGTGTTTGCCCAAATTTAGTGGTCCAAATAAAAAATACCCTCAGTTTTTAGATAATATGTATTATAGATCAGTGAATGCACATTTTTAACTGTATTAGGCAGGCTATTAATAAAATAATGTGCAATTTTTTTTTTATTTAAGTGAAGTTATCTTGAATAAACTGTATTTTATTATTTATACCTTTTGGATATACACATACAGGAACAAAAAACAAACTAAACTGAAAAAAATAATAATATAAAGTGCACATGAATTATAATAATTTAATTTAAGAACATTATATATGAGTGAGGTCTCACCTGGACAATGAATCAACTCCTATAGCTACCAAGACACAAGCAGCGAGCATACAAGCCAGGTATATACCAGCTATAACCTGAATTTTCAGCGGCGAGGGAGGTTCTAAATTTGAATTGTCCTGAAAATATCATTCATGTAAATAAAAATGAATTGCAAAATGTTGCTAAGCACAAAATTCAACTTTTTAATTTATTTCATGATAGGAAGGTTTTATGGAGAGAAAATTGGAAACAGAAAAAAAATAGAAATGAATTGGTAGTAAGTAAAAAAATCATATTAAGGCGAAATGAAAATCGCAAAGGTTGATAATTAGTATGTATATTAAAGTCAAAAATAATTTCACAAATATCAAAAATACTCCTGCACTAACAAATTTTAACGTTCACTGTATTTGTATCTGTTGATCCAGCCATAGATACATAATAATTAAATATATCAAAATAAATTATAAAATCTCACAATGTAACAATGTATACCATCTATGCACTATTCAATTCTTACAATAATAAGAATTCCAATTCTTGTGTGAATATTAATTCCGGTATAATCTATATATAAAAAGAAAAATGGTCTTCGTTTGAGGCTCCTTCACGCCTAAACCACTGATCGTATCGACATGACTACCCCATTCGTGCGAAATTTTTCCTAGATGGTTTATGGCTTTTTATATTTTTTAATTCAGTTCTATTTTTTTATTGTTTTCTTTTTATTATCCATAGGATTAAATTAAGCTTCCTACCTCTAAACTCAACATCTGTAAAACTCGATTTTCGAAATATTTCAATTTTTAGGGGAGTTAAAAGAAGAATAGTAAAATAAAAATAATGAAACATAAAATTTATTTTAATTGTCCCAAAGGGGGCTAGTAAATTCATAAATATAATTGCATTGTTGTTATCTCGATTAAATACGATAATAAATGTGTCATAAATTATATAGAATCGTGCACTCACATGTTCCTCACTTCCGCTGCAGAAGTTCACGCCACACGTAGCACCATAGTCCGGTGCTGGTATCGAGTAGTTAAAGGACGCTATGACGTCAGCATTTAGGTAGGTTTCGTTGGAATATAATGTGACGTCACCAAGACTGGATGATAAAACTGAAAATATATGTTGATATCTTAAAGAGCCTTTTGGAAGCGATTTAAAATGGATAATAAAGTTTTACGTTATTAATCAAAAAACTTTAACTATAACGATTTTGTCATACGGGGAAAACGCTAAACTCCAAAGCTTTAAAACTTTGGAGATATATGATATATAGTGAATAATATGATAACAGAAAACAATCACCAAATTATATTTCTCAATTTCTCCTGAATTGTCCAAGTTTGTCAAGTTGATTGGACTTATGAAAACCTGAGACAATAATTCGTAGTAAAACAAAAGAAGGTTTTGAAAGTAATAATAAATTTGAGGTAAAAAGAAGGTTTTGAAAGTAATAATAAACTGCGTGAATGTTTCTTAAGCCCTAAACGTAGTAGAAACTAAATTTTAGAAGCATGTGATTTCCTAGTAACAAATTATGTGTAGCAAATAAGCAAATAAATTGCTTAACATTGGCAACAAATAATATATTCGTTTTCTACGAACAAAAGTATTAAGTACAATGTGACGTGTATTTTTCTATATATTTTAATTTAAGTACACCACCTTTCTATAAAGTAATTTATAAAAAATAGTTATGGTGAGAACAAACTGTCAATCAACGCTGTAAAACCTTTTTGATTGATCTGTTTAAAGCGGATACATCTTAATACTCCTTATTTCCGTCTTAAACCTGGTATTACGTCATAGGTATGTTTTACAACCAAAAAAGCAACCTATTTTTAACTCAGTGTTTACATTTTTGCACGGAACAAATAAGCAAGCTGTGACAAAATCAAGGTCCCATTCACTTTGGTACACGGAAGGGGGTAATAGGCCAATAACCTGTTCTTTGTTATAACTTAGTTAGATAATTGGTGTTTCTGTTTTTCTTAACATAGCTGGAGAACAATTCACTTTGTTCATTTTAGGTAAATCGCTATTAAAAAAGTCTACCCCCATCAATAATAAGTGGAATTGGAGGCCGAAAATCAGTCGGCGAAGAGGTTGGACGTCCTCCCACTAGGTGGTCAGACCTGGTGTCCTGGCTGGAGGGAAGGAAGGCATTGGATGCAAAGCGCGGGGAACAGAACTGGATATTAAGAGCGAGCCCTATGTCCAGCAGTGGACGTCAACAGACAGAAACGGCTACGACGAAGTGCTTGAAGAGAATTCATAGAAATCTAAATTTTTTATGTGAACCTTCTATTCTTGATCTATGACGGTCTTTCTTAGATATACTGATTTTCTCAGGATGTTTATATTCGCCTATAAATTAAATTGCGTATTAGAAACCATCAGTACAAAGCTTGTAATTTAAGTTGGTACAAAAGTAAACTAACTGCTGTTTTGATTTTTATTTTAGTTAATTAAATTATATTAATTTTGGTCCACTAAATGATTGAATGAGAGTGGTACGAATCTTTGAAGTACAGGCATGTGACATTTATATTTCAAAGTGTTAATGGAAAATTGTGTACCATATACTTACTTGCAGAGGAAATTAGATTTCCCCAAATCTGCGCCATTTGATAGAACATGAAGAAAAGTCCGAAGAACCTGACCACCAACACCTCTGCTGATACTCCCGACAGCTTTGCATATGGTTCCGCTACCTTTAGGATATTATAATTAAGTGTAAATAAAGATATTATACTTAATAAACATACATGGTTAGATGGAGCAAAATAAATTTCTAATTACATTTAATATCACTAATATTTTTGCAGGGAAGTAGGAGAGCAGCCTTCTTTGTCAACACATACCAAGAATTATCATTGTGATCGGCCGATACACGATGCTTTACCTCACCGTTTAAACAAGTGTTTTGTTTCATATAGATTATAGAAAATTGGGCGGTGCATGAACAAGTTATAGATCTATATGAATATATATATATACAAATGATATCTATATGAATATATGAAAAGGTGGGAGCTTGTAGTTTATTGTTTATCAGAATGCCAAATCATAAAATGACTGCTTCACGACTGATTTCAGAGCGACCGCCGATGCGAAAACCGCTGTGTGAGTTCGAAAAGTGAGTTACAGAATCGCAGGGCAGATCCGGCAAACGTCGTTTTGCCATGTATATCATTTATAATAAAAAATAGGGGTTGATCGTAGAGGGGTGAAAATTAGGGGTTGTATGTATTTTTTAATCCTGTATCATAAAAAAATTATTCTAAAAATTAAAAAAAAATTATTTAGGGGTGGACTACCCTTAACATTTAGGGGGATGAAAACGATTCTCAGACATACTCAATACGCACACAAAATTTCATGAGAATCGGTCAAGCCGTTTCGGAGGAGTTTAACTACAAACAGCGCGACACGAGAATTTTATATATAAGATATATACAAATGTACTAATCAATATTATCCAACAAACCAGGAACTATAATTAATTAGTAAAACAATCACGATGCATCAAATCGTTTATGTAAATAAACTAATCCGACAGCATTCCAACATTTAGGTATCCAGCCTTAACACGAAAAATTTTAATTTTAAATACGACATTGACTTATAAGTATGTACTTGCTTTTATGTAGGTATTTTTAGAAACAATTTTAAAAGCTCTGAACATTCGATATAGTATAATTTAACTTAACTTTTACATTGAACATTAGAAATAATTATAACGATCAAATTTTAATTTAAACCTAATTAACTCTACTACTAAAAAGATTTTCCGGTTCAAGAGGTTTTAAATATAAATTTTAATCAAGACCGAATGGTCGAGGCTTACTATGGAATGTATCAGCTACATCCAGGGGTACTCGTCAACAAATCGGGGGGTACAAATCAAACCGTCATAATTTGATAAAGAAGTATTAATTATTAAGCCATTTTTCATTCAAGATTGTGTTGTGTTTTTAAAATTTAAACAATCTTTAATATTTCAAGGCTTACATATATTAAGTTTCAAGTAAAATTATATTGTATTATTAATTATTAATATTTAAGGTTTTACCTAGGGTATTTTTTTAAATTACTAGCGGACTCGATTGTACACAGGTCTTAAATAAAATAAAAATTCTAATTGCAAATTCATCAAAATCGGTTTAGGACATTTAAAAATCTTATATAAGCTATAATATAAATATTTGATTTGTATTTTATATTTTTTTGTTCTTTTATTTTTTTATTATATATTATTATTATACTATTTAAAACTTCCCTAAATTTCCACAAATATTTCAAGATAAAAATTAGCCAAATCCAGATATTTTGAGTTTTAGCAAGACAAACGAACAGCAGTATGAGAGAGTACGTTTATGAATAAAGTGAACACTATACTTAGGAATAAGCTTAAAAATACTTACGACTGATAAATAAGTACACTTAGCGCACCACAACGGCCCTCCTCCAAAACCAACCATCATTCCCGCTGGCACCAAGGTGTGAAGATGTGGGTAGAATTGAGCAATGATAAACGGCATGTATGCTATGAATGACAAGGCCATAGTCCATTTGCAGCCGAGCCATCTATGGGATTTAATTAAGTTTAACTCAATTATGAATGTTTCTCGTAATAGAATTTACAAAGAAGTTAACAAAGTACTGGTACCATGAAAGAGAAGGGATGAAAAGAGAAGCAATTGAAGGTAGAAGGACTACATAAGGTTAGACGTGGTAGAATGGTATAGGTATACCTTTGTCGAAAGACAATATGATTAGTAGTAATAAATATAAATAATATATAAAATAAGAAAAATAAACTCAAGATTAATTATATTTTAATGTAAATGTAATAATTTATTAATTATTAATGTTTCACATATCACCCTTCTAGACAAGTGGCATACTCCAAATATTATGTCCTATTTCGTTAATCGAAAAGGCTGTAGCGTTATCGATACCAGGTAGTTTGATTTTGGATTCTTATCCAAAAGTACAACTATCGATATATTTGTTTATATACACTTTATTACCTTATACAAAAACATACATATAAAAAAATAAAAAAAGGAGGTTACATAAGTTATAAGGCAACGGGCAGTTATTTATATATATAACGGCAGTTATTTTAATTAAAACCTGACACATACATGTTACATTGAACATTACTGGCTCAAGTTCTAAATTTCATTTAACTAAATATTAATTCATACTTATTAAATCTGGTACAGTGTTTTATCGTGCTGTGATTCGAATCAACAAGTAATATGCAAAAGAGAACAAGATAACATCACAATAAACTTATAAGTTAATTATAAGCAAAGATTTTAATATGTACATAATATAAATACGCAAAATTATAGCTTTATTTTAATTTCGTTGTGGGATTTCAGATATATAAGTAAACAAGGACTTTTTGGTGTAGATATTTTTTTGTAAATAATTTGTTTTGTAAATCTCCTACCCCTAAAAAAATATCATAATAAAAACGCTGTTTGGGTTTGTTTCTGATAATCTGCCCTGCATTCCGTAACTTATTTCAACCACAATGCTAAAAATAAATCATCTTTATGCTTTGGCATTCTGATAAACAATAATCAATAACGCTGATTATGGTTTTGATTTCTGTGGAAATTAATAAATGACTGTTTCAGAATCCCCCCCCCCCCCCCCCGGTTTGAGAGCGACCGCCGGGGCGAAAACCGCCGTGTGGGTTCGAAAAGGGAGTTACAGAATCGCGGGGCTGTTTCCGAAATGTGTGATATACTCCATATTTGTAACGTTTTTGGCCTAGACATCAAATATAAAATTGTATTATGATCAAAAAGTGGTATTAAGCGTAAAAATCAAACTTTAAATATTCCTTTCGTCATAACTAAATCATTTTTGCGAGGAATTTTATTTTATTTTTCACTTAAAACTGTCGTACTTCATTTGTTTATTTTTAAAATACATAAGACAATAACCGACCTCCACGCAGTTTTATAAGTACTTAATGTCGTATAAAATTGAGCCATTGTTACATCAAATCAGTTTATAGATAATGAGAAATATTCTATTATTCGTGTTCATAGATAATACAGCATTGACCCATTGCTGTCTGACCTTACATTGGACACTGTATGTATCTTAATAACAAAACATTAAAATGGCTAGAAGTGTCCACCCATTGTCCCTTAATAAGGTTATTATGATGTCGATTGCTAAAGAGAATTAATTCTGAACATAATTTGAAGTACCAATCTAGTATGCTGTGTGAGTTTCTAATAGACAATAAGCATGTCTTCTAAATTATTGAGCCAAGTAATTAATTCGCTAGGAATCGAATCCTTTGAATTACACTGTTGCGCCGTGACCCCAGGGTCTAGACACAATACCTCAATCCTCTCAATAATGTCTAAACTCGTAGTTTTTCTTTCTAAGGAAATTAAATGGGTTATTACGTAGGGAATACTTTTACCCTTTACCTTCCAGATTGCATGTGCGGAGTTATGTGGGACTCAGTTTTTGTACCCTACCCACTAAAGCAAGACCCTCGCTACTCCTAGACAAGAATGTACCTTGATGAAAAATATACTACTTTTAAGATATGTATTAAGCCCAATATCGTATTAAAATAGTACTACACCTCAAAAATATGACCTGGATATTTAATTTTTCGAATAAATAATTTGACATAATTATATGTATGGGTCACAAGTTATTAACATTATAATTTAAGCAATTGACATATCAATCTTTTTAATGATTTCATTTCCTGTATGACAACTTACTCGCACAAAAAGTTAAAGGTCCTTAGTAAATGCTGTATTGGTACTTAAAAATAAACAAGATTATTACATCGCCAAATATTTTTTATACAAGTGTCTTTACTAAGACATCATGGAACATTACGATCTAGCGTAACTTAAGACTAATAAGTAATTTAAGTCTAACCTAATTTGTAATGAACACAAGTTGACGTATAATATAACTTTAGACTCGCTTACAAAGACCGCCTATCTGTCATCAGACTGGCAAGACATTTATTTTATCACAGTATATTTTAAATCCAGTGTAAGCTGCAACATTTATCGAAAACGTACAACAGACTGTCAAAATATAATTAAAAATAATTAAATTGTGATAATATATTCTATGTAAGTATATAAAAAAACTAAGAACTCCACCGGTTTCATAGAAGCATTGTAGCATTGAAAATCGAAATATCTTCCCTATGGCCCATGGCCCGCAATGAGGGCAAAATAGTTTCTTGATTCAATCATTAAGATTCGATTCGATTTTACAGAGATTACAGAATACCACAGCAGGTATACTGTACCCTGTCCCTTTTTAGTATTTTCAATGCATTATTATATCTAAGACATGATATATAACTTACTGTATAACCAAGGCAGGCAAAAATATATTTGACAGGATCAGCGAAAAGTATATCGCAGCCAATGTGAAGGTCCCCGCTGCTGCATCAGTGTTAACAGAGCTCTGTAGATTAGCAGTACCATGAAATGCGGTGAAGTGGATCATGAAGGCAAAACCGAGTACAAAAATGTTTCGATTTATGCGCCATTTCTCGTTCGTACCAAAGACTACAGATGACGGCATTGTTACTGCAACAGAAGTTAAAATTAAAATAATTTTACACATTAGAAACAAAACTATATTTTGTTGAAAGCTTTATATTCAAGATACTTAAGATTTTTAAGATGAACATTTTGTGTTTTTTATTGTTTTATTTTTGAGTAGCTTTAAAACCTTTAGGAAGCTAAAATCTAAACAACATTTAAGACAATCATTTCACATAAAAAAAAACTGCAAAATACCTACAACAAAAAAAGAGATATATTTTTGAAACCTCTCTGGCAGAAAACATTCAAAAAACACAAAAAAATTATAACTCGAAAACTACAAAAAATCGCCGAACATACATGGGGTATTTTCGTACACCCCCAGGTGTGAGGAATCTAAAAAAAAATGATTGACGTCACTAGTTGGACCAACCTGTTTATAACTGTATGTTTATAATTTTAGTTAATATAGTGTAAACTCTTTATAACGAATTTCAAGGGACTGAGGATTTTTATTTGTTATAGAGAAGTTTCGTTATAGGTAGGGACGAATTAATGTACCTATGGGTATTTGGACCCAAATACATTTAACTCATTTATACGTTATAAAAGGTTTTCCTTATAACGAATGAGGTTATATAGAAGAATTACCAGGAAATTGATATATTTTATATGCTTAAAAAATGCTTGAAAAATAATATAAAATATATATAGATAGATTTTTATTTTTTATATGTGTTTTGTGTTTATGTATATTTTATTTATCTGATTGTTTATGATATTTTGTTTGATTGTTAGATTTGGCTTCGCGGTAGGCCAATTAAATAAATAAATCTACTAACTAGTTTTACTAAGAAAGTAAGGGAAGCCTCTTCTTAACATTGGCTTTTATGAGTTCATATGATTAAAACTTCCCTAAAGCCGGTAACATGGTAGGTATGAAGCTCTATAATAGTTAAATTTGATTTAATTTGTGCCGTCAGTAAAACCATGAAATAATTTGTAGAATGAATAATTTATCTTAGCGTTATTATTGTTTTAATATAAACGTTATGCGGTGGATCCGCATCCGATACCATTTTAATCGACTAAACATCGAAGAAAGAGGTTATGACATTTTGAGAACCTTAGTCACCTCAAATTCTTAAAACTAAGCGCATATTTACGACCTATATATTCTATAAAAACCAATCAAGTCGTTACATAAGCATTTATTATGCAAATTGTCCGTTCAATCCAATGTTATTATGGCTTAACATCGATTTGTCATAATATGTAGGAAGATAATAAATCTATACAAATTACTTGCCGTCATCAATATGCAATGTCCGAAGTAATTCTAACTTGGTATCACAATTTGGTCCATAACTCTGTTCGCTTTAAACCTGACTTAACTATGGCTAGAAAAACGAGTGTTGAAATATGTGTCTATGAATCCCTCCCTTAACATAAATTACATTTAACTTGTCTACGTTGGAGGCCGATATGCGGTACGGTCTCCTTGAAGTCACGTCATTTCTTTACGGAACAGTGCGTATAGGGCGAGTTATCCAATGTCCAGCCATCGAAATGTTGTGGTTAATAAATACTTAACAATGAAATAGTCAAGACTGGTGAAGTCTGGCAAATTGTATTTAGGCGAGGTATAAGTGATTCCTAATAATATTTAGACTAGTATTTAGATGTGTCAAACTTCTGTGTCTTCTAGACTTGCTTTTTGTTGCGATAACTAAAAAACACAAGGCTAAAAATTCTAATCTCGAAATATTTACACGAACATATTAATCTCTCAAATATCTATCGGGAGTGTACTTCTATGCTAGTATTATCCAATGTTCCACCCATAGTTTTGAAAAACAGTTAATTTTTTTAAAATATAGTTAGATTTTAAGCAAGAAAGCATTGTTATTATTTTTATTAGATTGCTATAATAGGAAATGAAAAAATGTATCTTTGCATTTGTGCGAGACGGGTCACTAGTCAAGCACATTACATAATGTATTCTATGTATGTATGACCTTGGTCGGGACCCCAGGCAAGGTTAAGAGTGGGTTTTACTAACAGTGATTGTAATTCGTGACCAGAGCAATTGCATATTCATAATTATATAAATGTGTCAAAGCTCCGATAAAAAATGTCCAGACTACATGCATCTCGATGGTCATAATAATGACATATTCGACATTCGACATATTCTGGTGTAAGTTAAAATCTTTTAAAATAATTAACTGTTGAAATCGAGCTTTCGTCAACTATCATTTTCATACAAAGGTCTATACACAGACACCGATACGACCACCCATGAATAGCTTGTATCGACAGATGGCTATTACAATCCGTCGATTCGTTATTGGCACACTTGTTACAACATTTGGATTAAGATGGATTATGGATCGGGCGTAAGTAAGTCCCTTGGATCTGGTTGGTCGTAAGTTATCATGTCATTTTTACATGTGTCCATATTTATCAGATATTCCATCAGTGTTTGATTTTCCTCGTATTAACATGTGTAAAGTTTGAGAGTTTAACTAAATTAAACAAAATTTAAATTTAAGTTATTCACCAACATTCAAAGGAGCATTAGTTTACACAAGTACTTTTAAATAAATATAAATGCAAAGGCTCGCTGACTATAAATACTAAAACGTCATGTGATATAAATAAACTCGCGTTTAAATATATTAAATCACGTTTATTTAGTCCATGTGTGTCTTATGCTTAGGATTATTAATGAAACGATTTCAGGATATCTAGAACACTTAGGAACACGTGTTAATCGATCTGACCATATTAAGCTACAATTATATCAATCAAATTGTATTTATGTATGTAGTCAATAAAGTTATCGTGACAAATTAATTCCACATCCGGTTGTAGATCACTGTTTGATAATTTTTAAATAACTCAGCGTAATAAGAATATATATATATATATATATATATATATAACAGGAGGCCGATCACCTCCTTGTCTATTAGATTTGCAAATGATCATGAAAGAGATACAGAAATCTGAGGCCCAGACCTAAAATGGTTGTAGCGCCACTGATTTTTTTAATTTTAATCTTAATTTTGAAACGAGATCGATCGAAAACTCAGTATTAATTAAGAGTTTTACTAATCTATATGTACTCGTAGGTATAATGATAATTTGACGTATCTTTGAACGGCAGTTATCTTTTTTAAATAAAGTAGCAATCAAGTACAAGGAAGTGCGAATAACATCCCCACCATTTGTATATTAAATTATTTTTTGTTTAACTTTAGCCATAGATAAAATCTGAATAATGAATATTTAATAGAACGGTCGGGTCCCCAGGCAAGGTTTAGCAGTGGGTTTTTACTACTGTTAGTAATAATAATAATTGGAATTCGTGACCAGAGAAGTTGCATATTCATTATAATATATATTTGGGTCACAGCTTCGATAAAAATGTCCAGACTTCAGCATCTCGATGTTCATAATGATGACATATTCGATGAATAAACTTCAAACTTGACAGATCATTTTGTTCTGTAAAACCTTTTGACATGAAGTAAAAAGTCAGAGACGAGACTTAGCTTTAAGCAATACTTCCGTATGTCTAAACTATAGATTTATGACATATGCTATGTGACATATGATATTAGAGGATGAAGGAATATGCAACCATTTTTGGATTTTTTGTGCTGTTATTTGAATTTTAGTGGTGATTGCAAAGGACATTTCTAAACGCTATAAGTGGAGTATAAGACGGGACTAATTTATTTGCTGTTCAGAAATCGTAAACATGTATACAACCAACAATTGCATTACCCGTAAAAGCTAGTCGGGAGATAATTAAAATTATTTCTTACTGGTCAGGTTTTACTCTAAAAATAAATTCCGTGCATTTATTTTATTTTTATTTGTAAAGTTACATATTCTGTTCAATATTATATTATTCTTATTCAAGGTTTTTTATCATACCTTTCAAACAAACAGAGATTTTTAAATTAGTTTAGAGATTTTGTACATCACAGCTATTATATATACTAACCTAACCTAATATGTACATAAACAATCTTGAAGGAATGCAATAATTAATACATACTTGTTTATTTTATTTGCAATTTTACGAACGAGAAACCCAGATTGCTTGCGGTTGCAAATGTAAAGAAAATAAAACTGTCAAACAAGCCGGGAAAGCCCTTAATAACTACGGAAAAATTCTGCAATATATTGATGTAATTTCCCATCTTAAAACTTGTTTTAAAAAAAGGCTATTATATATATAATATTTCCTCCTCTAATCTTTTCTACTTTTCCTATTATACGACTGTGAAGGATAGATGGTGATACCATCTCATAAACTTGAAAGTTCTAAATAAACTTTTTTGGGATTAAAACACATGCAACGGTAACGATTTTAAAATTATGTTTAAAACACTGTTATAACTGTTTAATTTAATTAATAACTTTTAATCCACATCTGATGTCGATTGTGTATCTAGTTGGTTATTTTAGTTCAAATATTACGACCGTGATTTCCGACATTTTTCAAACTTAATCCGTTTGGACCTCAAACAAGAATCGTGAACCGAAGGTTATCTCAAAAAGTAGAGCATCAAAAGTCAAAAGCCAATTTCTAATAACAATAACACTTCCTCGTATCTATATTAAATCTATTTTTATGTTTCGAGAAGATGTAGGACTCTTATAAAACAATATTTTCTGTGATCGCATTTTTATGAATGCGAAATTTCATTACATTTATTCTCACAGATTTATGGTAGTAATTAGTATCGCACATATCACAATAAGTCGGCCTCTGTATTCGTACATCTCAAATTTAGTTTCTATCTCAATCACCAGCCTATCCTAACGCGTCTTATGCCAAATTAAGTTAAGTGAGTTCTAGTTAGAATCATTAACGTTAAAATAAATTATTCTCTAAATACACTATGAATGAGCAGTGTTGGCCAAGTGGCTTCATTGTGCGACTCTCATCCCTGAGGTCGTAAGTTCGATCCCCGGCTAAATGGACTTTCTTTCTATGTGCGCATTTATCATTCGCTC